AAATTGTATCCACACAAAACACACATACAGACATCCATTTTTTTCAAGGTATGCTTAATGTTCAGAAAAATCTAACACGTAAAATTCTCTTCATGAATAGGAATCAAATGTTTGTGAATCAATCTAATCGGTTAATCCATGCTAATAATATCGTGGACAAGAAATCGTATTCACACAAAACACACATACACACACTTACATCCATTTTGTTTGAATGTTCAGAAACCATTGAAACGTAAAGATTTGTAATAATTTTTATTTGCAAATTATAACAATTCTAACCCATTCTAATTATACAGTTTGTATATCATTGCTTTTTTTCCACAACAATCCATCAGAGTCCGATATTAATATCCGCTGCTTTCCTGTAGATCTTTTTTGGCTTGTTCAGTTTTTTTGAATTTCTACCGACATTTTTCATTCTTTGTTCGACATTATATTATATTACATTATGGACGTAAAAAGAACTAGTATTTTAAGATTATGCCTCATCTGTTATGTTAAAGCAAGTTTTTGTGTTGTTTCGAGATAATTTTACACGAATGGCAAAAAGTGTGATAAATTGACAGTAATGATATATGATACACATGTCATAATTTTATTACATACATGATTTTGATATTAACGGTTTTATAGATGAGTTTTTGTGAAGAAGTGGATTAATGACAATTCTTTGGATACTAACTGTAATATTTGTAATACACATTACATTATTTGTAATAGACAAAAAAAATTTTGTTGTCGGTAAACTGAATGATTAAAATTTATTTATCTATAATAAAATATTTCATCGATTATTATATTAATATTATTCATTTTTTTAGTTTTTTTAGTAATTTATCATATATCGAGGAATTTCTCTAATAGATACTCTGCCTATTATTATCTTACAATAAAAAAAATTATCTATGCTTAAGATTTTACAATATGCATGATTAATAAAAAAAATTTAAACGTCAATAATATCACTTTCATTTGTTCTGAAGACTTTTAACCTCTGAGTTACTAAAAAAATATGTTGGTACAAAATTTCCGTGATTGTTAATTGAATTTTTGACTCATACGTATCTTCAAATTATTATCTATAATATTTATCTAAAATAAGAAAAATTTCATATCATATCATCTGTTAAAATTAAATGCATTAGTATCGATGGATGCATTAGTTTCGCCCATAATATTGTCAACATAAATATGCTCATTTTAATAAAAATCATAGTTATGTTGTAATAAATCAAAACCTTTACAATAAAGTTATAACAAAGTCGTTCAAGAATTATTAATCATCCATATAATGAATAAGTAATCTTACTGTATAACATCCTTATTGTTCGCAATAAAATTATTTAAATTACACGCATAAGCCACTGAATCATTAAATTTAACTATGATTTATATAGTCCAATTTTACATTACATTACCTGAAGTATTGTATAACATTTTCATTGTTATGAATCCCAAGTAGGAAATTAGAATTGAGACATATCATAGAAATTAATGGCATTCATCATACATCATTCATCATATCATATTTGGTTCAAATCGTTTTACTTAAGAATTAGTATCTATTGATGAACAATTTTATTGTTGCTCCTTTCGTCGACTTTCTAATTCATTTGATGAATATTTATTGTTTTATTATTACAAAAAATAAGTTTGATCAATTCGAATCTAAATTGGACTTCAGACAAGAGATCAAAGTTTTGTGCAAGTGAACGGATTTTACAGCTCGATGGTTAAATAAATAAATAAATAAATAGAAATTAATAGAAAAATAGAAATTATTTTTGAGTATATTGCAAACTAACACTAGAATGATTTTGGTTTCATTGTTGTTAAAGATCATTTAAAACTACTTCATATTTTATTAAAGTTGCAAAATTAACGTATATTAAGAAAAATTAACTATAAATGCTAGCCTTTAGTTTGAAAAAAAATAACACAAATACTTTAGATCTCAAATATACCTTATCACGCTCTGATATCATATGCCATCAGAAATAGTACGTCTCACCTTAAATAATTAAATTATAAATAAACTATTAGTGTATGGCATCGTGCCTTGAGGTAGTTCCCATACAAAATTAAAATTATGCAAATCCGAATTATTTTTAATACTCAAAAAATTTGCAGAAAGTGTTTTGAATCATTCAAATTAGATGCCTGATTATCTCAAAAACTGCAATATTTTTGCACATTTAGCTCCGTATCTCCGAAATGGCTAGACAAAAACTTGAATTTTATTCAAGTACTCTATATTCCAAATAACAATTTTCAAAAATACTATGACGAATCCTTCAGAAATTTCTATATATCCATATAAGGATCAGACAATTCATTCAGATGATCAACTGATCAAATAAATCAAGATTGAGTTAAGATATGCAAATAATATACAATACAGTTACAAAGCATCTGCTATTAATCATGTAATAATAACATACACTAATTTCCTGTTGGAGAATTCTAAAATATCCTCAGGGCATTTAAATTTAATGTAAGTGAATTGAATCTAAAAAAATCCACAAAACGATTCATCCTACGTAACATCTAATAAAAAGGAAGATCGCAATGATATGGCATTATATGAGAGAAAGGTGTAAATTATTCAGGTAAAATGAATCATATAAAATCGATTTAAAGCAGAGGATGGAGATAATAAAGCTAAGCAGTTTATTATTTCACAATTAATCAATTTCTACAAAAAGTGCTTTGTTCCAACATACCTTACCCCGTAACTACGACAATATTATGCATTTACATGTTTATCAAAGACAAAAAAATATTTTAATATTGCCTGTTACTACTTACCCCTGTAACTGCAAATAGCCTCTAGCTCCCTTATGAGAATAATTGTTTATCTTTATTTTTTAAGTTATTAGCAACTACGCAAACTGAAATTTAATTCGCCCTTTTTTGGTAATATTTGCCCTTTTTGGTTCTAACATATCTCAAAATAGTTTAAAGTGCTAAGCATTTGATACTTTTAATAAAACAATTAAATCTATTAGGAATTTAATTAATAGACTACATACGTGAGAAAGAAATGCATAAATTACCATTAATTAGTCGATTATTCTTTACATAACATTTACGGCAACGATATCGACTAATCTGAAGACAATCTAAAATTGCTTCTCTAATGAATTGCCCATTTTTTGTGATATTTTTCCGTTCATTTCTATTAGCCGTTTTCGAATCAGTTTATATATCGCCCGCCTTCAAAACTTTCGAATTTTTTGCACTAATTTTGACTTTGAAATATATTCGACGACTAAAACACATTGAATATTATTATTTCATTCACTTCTTCTGGAACGTCCGGCTAAAAGTTGTAATCATCATTTTTATGGTCGATTTAAAATTATAACGCGTTGTGTAACTTGTGGAAATAATGATTGTAATTTGAATATTTTTTATTTGAAGATTTAAGATAATTAAGTCTTGGTTTCAAGTCTTTAATACTTCTTGATGATTAATTAAAACAACATCTCTTGCTTGTATCTTTAAAAATGCTTAATATTTTGAACGGTGACCAAAAGTTTGAGGTGCGTCTAAAATTTAGGACTGTGTCTAAGATTGAGGACTCTGGTCTAAAGATTAGGACTGTGGTCTAGAGATTAGGGCTATGGTCTAAGGATCAGAACTGTTGTCTAAAGTTTAAAATATAGAACTTGGTCGAAAAATATAGAGTTTGGTCGAAAAAATATAGAACTTGGTCTAAAAAATATAGAACTTGGTCTAAAAAATATAGAGCTTGGTTTAAAAAATATAGAACTTGGTCGAAAAAATATAGAATTTGGTCAAAAAAATATAGAACTTGTTCGAAAAAATATAGAACTTGGTCGAAAAAAATATAGAACGTGGTCCAAAAAATATAGAACTTGGTTTACAAAATATAGAACTTACTTTAAAAAATATAGTATTCGGTCTAAATATATAGAATTTGGTCTAAAAAATATAGAACTTGGTCTAAAATATATAGAACTTGGTCTAAAATATATAGAACTTGGCCTAAAAAATTTGGGGTTTCGTCTAAAAAATATAGAACCTGGTCTAAAAAATTTAGGGTTTGGTCTAAAAAATTTAGGGATTGGTCTGAGAAAATTTAGGGATTTGTCTAAAATTTGGGGTTCGGTCTGAAAAATTTGGGGATTGGTCTAAAAAATTTAGGGATTGGTCTAAAATTTGGAGTTTTGTCAAAAAATTTAGTACTATGCCTAAAAGTTGGAAATAGATTTAGAATTTGGAACTAGATCTAGGATTTACAACTGATTTAGAATTTGGAACTATGTCTAGAATTTGGAACTAGGTTTAGAATTTCGAACTGCCTCCATAATAAATCGTATTAATAATAAGTTGCATAAATTCTTGCTCTTTTTATTTACTAGCAAGGGTTATTATAAAGCTATTTTTGGATATTTAAAAACAAAATTTTATACTAAGCATTCTTCAATAAAATAATATACATTTCCCAAATGAACACTGTTCTTACTTCTGTAAAAATTACGCCCAACCGAGGAGCAACAACTTATTCATATATCGTGTTCGGAATTCCATATATTTATATAGCATATTTATAGCAAATTTTAAAAATTGAAGATAATTAAGTTTAAATAATTCAATATAATTTTTAATATTATTGGAAAACTTTTCAAAAAACATTATTTTCTTGAGCGCCATATTATAACCCTGATTTTCTCAATTAGTAGTTCTGTCTTATATATTCTTATTTTTTGCATAAAATAAATGAGATAAAATTAAAATAATTTTGTTAAATTATTGAAAACTATATGCTTACTAAGAATTAATACTACAACCAATTATAATACTATTAGAACATTATTAAAGATTAATAACAAAACGATATCCTTCAAATCATTTATGAATAATATATAAAATGTCTTACATAATTTAATATTTTATAAAATTTAAATCAAAACTTAAGTATATAACACAGCTCAATCGGTATACTCGATAATAAATTTAATAAAAAAAAATTATAATTTTGTGATTTTCAATTTGACTGGTTCTGAAGGCACTGCCACCATTCTCATGACCATCTCGATTTTGTTCGTATTTGTGCATTCGATGGTAAATGACTCCAACAGCTAAAAGATTGATATTAATAAGTGATTCATAGTTATTTATATAGAAAGTAGATTATGTGTGCTTAGTAAGCGTAATTATTTTAAATAATCGTCTAGGGATGATTAATAAATGCTGATACTTTGATCTATGGAAATGTGTTGAACATACACCAGTAATTTACTGACTGGGAGTAGATTCGTATGTCAATGTCAATATGGACATTGAAATATGTTTTATTCACATGATTAATAAACATTTCCTAGAACAAGTTTTCTATTACCTTACTTAATAATTTGCTCCTAAGCAACAATCTTTCGAATTAAAAGTATCTTAGGTTATGGTTAAAAATTTTTCAAGACTAATTACGAAAGATGAAAGATGACTCCAATTGCTGATGAGCAAATGGACAAAAAATTTTATTTTGCAATAATCTATTATTTTTTTTGGTCTATTATACCTTTGCCAAAGTTTCCTGAATCTGCATATTAGCAATCCTTTGTCCTATGCAAGATCTGCTTCCCAAAGCAAAAGGAATGGATGCATGAGCCCTTAATAGTCCTTCTCCTGCAAGGGCATCATTTCGGCACCATCTTTCAGGAAGGAATTCTTGGGGTCTTGCAAAATTTTCTGGGTCACGACCCGCGGTGTATAAAGAACATATCGTTAAAGTCTAGAAAAAATTTAAAAAAAAATATAAAAAATTTTACCCGCAGTTGATAGAAAGTACTTCAAGACAATATAAAATATTACAAGACAATATAAAATTAAAGAATTTAATACTAGTCAAAATTATATTACTTTTGGTTCTTTATCTATAATAATATATTAGTGATTTTTTTGGAAAAATTCCAATACTACTAAATCCATCACGATATCTTGATTTAAATCAAATGTAAATATATTACTAACAATAGACATTTATGATGTGTCATTTAATTTCCATTATGATAAATATAATTGCTCTAAGTAATTTTGTGTATGATACCTCATATATTGAAAAATAATTTATAAATAATTTATATTATATGAAAGGATTTTTAAGTTACGTGCAAACATTAAGAGCTGTATAGATAACTCTTAATACTCTTATTAATATATAAATATTCAATATCATTCTTACATGATATAAATTCACAATTAGACAAATACACAAACTCAAAAAATCAAATGCAAAATCATATCCTTGGAAAGTTTGAGAAGTTCTTCTATTTATTTATCCATTGACAAAAATTATTACAATTGTTTTCTGATATTCACAGACAAAAAATAATTTGAAATTTTTTCTATAGAATAATCTATTTAATTTCTAACAAAGTTTGAAGCATTTGTTTAAATAGCGATTATGCTATAAATTACATTGTATATGATATCTTAAATATATAAAAATAATAGAAAATTCTGGTTTGGCCAAATTACTATTTGTTATTGATTAAAAAATAGAATGTCGCGTAGTATCACGTATTTGTATTACTGTATGGATTTAAATTCTTATCTTTGATACTGGTTTATTCCAATATTTGACATAATGTGTGAGAACTAAATTTGTTCAGTTTAATCAAAAAAAATTTTAAAGTCTAATATTTATATATTGTTGTGGTCAACTGTTTTATATACCAGATTAATTTCTTATCAAAATTTATAAATTGGAGGTGAAACTTAATAAATTTATAATGATTGGAATATATAGGCAATTAAATCTTATATCTGATCATTATCGTCCACATGATCCTTTTTGAAATTCAATATTCAAGATAGGTTTTCTTTTTTTCAGGTTGGTTTTTGACCTTAATAATTATTTTATTATTGGAAAATTATATTTACCCCTTCAGGAATTGAGTATCCTCCCAAAAGCATATCTTGGGCCAAAAATCTTGTTATAAAAGTGGCAACAGGATACAATCTCAGGGTTTCCCTCAGAACTCCTTTTGTCAGACTTCGATTTCCATTCAGAATATCATTTCTGACGTTGTGTTGTTGATGTGAATTTTTTGCTAACAGCAATAGGGCCCATTGTGTTGTAAATGCTGTCTAGAACACAATAATCACAGTTTTAAGCAACAGTAGAAATAGGAATTAATAATAAAATACAAATCCTAAGTATTTGTCTTAGTGTGGAACCATATTAGGAAGGGGAATATTATTTGTATCATCAACGTTTGGTGATCTTTAACTGTTTATCAGTTGATAAATTGTATCTTTTTTCTATTCTATTGATATCGATAAGTTACTTGATTTACAATATTAAAAATCAAATTTGATCAAACTATTATAATGAAAAAGTTTTGGAATAGGAGTAGTAAGAAAGAGAGCATCTTCATGATGTGCACCAAGTTAAAAATCAAAGCGTCTGAAGTGCATCTTTAATATATAATTTCTATCCAATTGAAAGAATTAATTGTATTCGTTTCATTATCAAATGATACTTTTATATGTATTTTGTAAGTGTTCCCATTACCGGAGATTTACCGTATCACCGGCAGCAATTACTAAATCTGTAACAATTCTTTGAATGTCAGATCTAGAAACGCCTTCATTTATCATACCAGCCATCAGACCATCTCCTTCTGGACATTCGTCTAGGATTTGATTCACCAACATATTACCTAAAAAATATAATAAATCAGTCACAAATTAAACTTAAAATAAAGGCCAATATGATGGACAATACATATATTAGAATATCTATTCTATTTACCTAAAGAGAGCGTTGTATCAACTGCTCGAACAAATCTTCTCCAAGCGGGCAGTTGAAATTTTTCGGCAATTTCAGCCGGTATCACAGTTAATTTTGCAGAATGAAGAAACACTTCATTTACAATACGACCAAATTTTTCAAGAGTTGGCTCTAAAATATGTCTTGAAGGTTCATACGCTGATCCTAGGAGCGCTGCCACCATCACTGGAATAGAAATTTAAGTATCATAAGCCTAATATATTTAAAAACTTGTTTATTAATGGATGACAAAGCATTAAAAAAGGAAATGTATTATTGTTATTAGTCATTCAAGTATTAAACCGTCAACCAATAAACCATGACTTATACCTTTGACTTTAAAGAATTCCTACCGTCGATAGATAACCTGTAGAGATTCTGTTCCAAGTCTACAATATTTTTGCTTTCTCCAGTTTGTAAATCCTTGCCCCAATCTGTGATGAGTTTATCTAAACATATATCCAAAGGTGCTCCTAACCAATTCAAGTCTTTTCCCATCAAAAGTTTGTTCATTAAGCGTCTAAAGTGCCACCATTCCTCACCGTCCCTGGAAAATAGAAATAATAATAGTAATAATTCGAAATCATACTTGAAATATTACTATTTATATTTTAAGCAATAGATCACAAATCGAACCATATTAAAATTTTTCTAAAAAAACTTTTCGTTTTTCTCAACAATTTGCATCAACGTTTGCGAGAAAATTGACAAATTAATTTCAATAATAGGAAAATGATATTATAACGTATTCTTAATGAATTATCAGATCTTTATGGGCATTTAAAAAAAACTTATTTATATTTTACTGACTTTTGGATTCCTTATTAATAAATGAATAGTATCAGAAAACGTCATAAGAGTCATAAATGAGATTTTCTCTAATCAAACATACTTCGTGAGACATAAACTTCATGTATGTGTTATCAATGAAGGTGACATCAGAAACATGTATTTATGATAAAATTGTTGTTTGACTTTTGTTCGTTTTGTAGGTTAGATTTTATGTAAAAAAATTCCTGGTCGCACAGCAAATACATAGCTTTATAAAGATACACCCTTAAGATAGTTATCTTATCATTTCGATTTTATTCGAGAGTTGGTCTTTTAGATTTTTAATTGTCATTGCATTTATAAGCATCTTTAAAAGGTAAGGTGCCCCAGCATTTCCAAACATCAAAAGCGTCAATATTTTCGGAAATTTCTAATTGAAATTCCCATTATTAAATTAACAGAAACGATTTCAAAATTTCCATATATATAAATTATTTTCTAAAACACCAAGTTTGAAAGTTTTATGATGTTCTCATACTGATTGCAGAGGTCAATCTATTTTGGAATTGGAAGTTCCATCGATTTGCCTGAAGATACTCTGCCAAGCACTATAGTAATTATATGAATGAGATTGGGTTGGTTGTTGAGTTATATTTTTAACTTTTGCAGAAATATCGAAAATATTTCTACTGTTTTCTTTTGCATATTTTTACTGTTCAAAACCTTCTAAAAATTTTGGCATACCTTAGAAAAAATTGATGTACGCGTGTCCAGCCATTTCGAAATTACGATGAAAAAAGTGCAAAAAATGGCAAATTTGAATTTGAATTCTTCTTAATTTTCAATTTGAATTTTTGCATTCAGTTCTGGCGGAATAAGAAAGAGACTAAATTTTTGGAAATACAGGTCCAGCGGTTTCGTGGATCCTAAACGTGAATAAAAAATAGAGTGCTTATAAGGTTCATACGCGATTGAAGTAAAACTTATTTGCTACTGTAGAAGATGGCATTTAAGTAAAAATAAATACGTCATATAACAATTTTGAATAATTTTATTAGTAATATGGTAACACTCGTGATGCACACATTTATTAGTGTAAACCATTATATAAAGATAAATTATAAATTATTTATTTATAATAGCATTAAAAATATGTATAATATTTAAAAACAATAATGTAATAATTAAAGTCATACTTCAAATATGACATGATCGGTTTGTCATTGTAATTAGCATTTAGAAATAAACCTTCATTAGAAAAATGAAGTAATTGCTGATTAATAACTTCTATAATATTTGTTCACACAGTGGATTATGTTAAACAACGCCTAAACAAATATTGTTTTCGCAAATTCACTCATCACGTAATAATTGTGTTCGAAGAACTTCATGTAATTAAAATTAGCATACATTCATTGGCTTTATTAATCATTAATCTTATTAATCAGTATTTTCAAGAAACAGGGTAATATATTCTTCTGATTCAGGCATTTTTTATTAAATCAAGATTTGTACTACGATGTAACTTTAAAATGTTTATTTATCTATGCCGATTTCCTTGCTGATATCGGTACGCATACAACGTTGATGCCGTTACGCATACAACGACAGATCTCTATTCACATACACGACGACTAATCACAATCAACTCGTATAGAAATGATATCATCGAGAGCAAATGACAAAACATTGGCACTCGACTCTTATATTATATTATATGCCGTAACGCACTTCCGTTGCATTTGTACGGGTTTACACTTTAGTCGCGCCTAAAGAAGTTTTACTTCAGAAACGTTGAAAAATTGAGATATGATAGTCAAAAATGAATGTTTTTTTTACTTGACATTGAACAATCTCTGTTTCTTTATCCAATTATACATTATCCATCATCTATTATTACTTACATGAAGAGTAAACCTCGTTCGGCTCCGCTCCGTCTGTTGTGCAGAAGCCACGAGTCGGGCAAGACGTGCCGCGGTCGTCGGCCCTCGGCCCGGGGCGAGAACACGGCTCGCATGTCGTCCGGGTCGCACAGGAAGACGGCGCGGACTGGGCCGACGGCCTCGCGGAAGACAGGTCCAAGGGAGCGGTGGCGGTTGTCGATGTACTCGTGCAATCTGCGGAGGAAATTGTAATAGAGTTGAAATATGGAAATGATGGAGGAAAGTGATATAGTATTTATATCACTATTTCTATCGATTTGTGTTTATTTTACCACTTCAATAGCCAGATTAGAAATGAACCTTCATTTGAGAAATGAAGTAATTGCTGATTAATAAATTCTATAATATTTATTCACACAGTGGATTATGTTAAACAACGCCTAAACAAATACTGTATTCGCAACTTCACTCATCATGTAGTTGTGTTTGAAAAACTTCATGTAATTAAAATTAACATACATTCATTGACTGCAAAAAAAACAAAAAAAAATATTTTTAATTTTACAGTCCTCAATGGTTTTTTTAATGTACTTATCTTTTGAGCACTCATTTTTGAAGTAAAACTTCTTTAGGCGCGACTAGGGTGTTCATCCGTACAAATGCTGTTCGTCATTCGCTCTCGATGAGACAATTTCTATAGGAGTCGATTGTGATTAGTCGTCGTATATGTGAATAGAGATCTGTCGTTGTATGCGTTCGACATCAACGTTGCATGCGTACCGATATCAACAAAGAAATCGGCATAAATAAATAAGCATTTTAAAGTTACATCGTAGTACAAATCTTGATTTAATGAAAAATGTCTGAATCAGAAGAATATTTTACCCTGTTCTTTAATATTTTACCCTATTCCTTAGAAATTATTTCTATATTATTCGTAGTTTCTATAAATCTTTGAAGTTATTAAATTGGAAAATATTTTTTAGGCAAGGTAGATATTACAGCTATTCAAAGAATGAGATTATATCGAGAAAAAGTAAAAAAAACTACAAGCAGTCAATGAATGTATATTAATTTTAATTACATGAAATTCTTCAAACACAATTACATGATGAGTGAAGTTGCGAAAACAATATTTGTTTAAAATAATCCACTGTATGAACGAATACTATAGAATTTATTTATCAGCATTTACTTCATTTCTTTATTGAAGGTTTATATCTAAATGCTAATTACAATGACAAACCGATCATGTCATATTTGAAGTATGACTTTAATTACATTATTGTTTTTAAATATTATACATATTTTTAATGCTATTATAAATATATCAGTTATGATTTATCATTATATAAATGTGTATAATGGTTGACACTAATAAATGTGTGCATCACAAGTGTTACCATATTACTGATAAACATTATTCAAAATTGTTATATGTTGTATTTATTTTCACTTATATGCCATCTTGTATGGTAACAAATAAGTTTTACTTCAATCGCGTGTTAACCTTACGCGCACTCTTTTTTAAATAAAATGAATACAATACATTGAGAAATAGGTATTTAAGTTTGACAACCCTGGACGAAATTGATTTTTTTATGTAAATATTTTTTACGTTTTAATTAAATTTTTTTATGTAATTAAATTTTGGGCAATTCGCTTTTCAGCTTTTTCATAATCTCATAAAATCTCAATGGAATTTCAGTCAAAAACGTTCACTGACAGAAATCGAGATATAATAATTTTTACAAAATTATTATATCTTTTTATAGAACAAAAATTATAGATTATAAATTATAAATTTTTTCTAGAACAAAAAATCTAGAACATAAGTTTACCTGGAAGCAGAACCTGCAGCCAAAAGCTGTGGTAATGTTCCCAACAAAGGCAAGCCCTTTGGGGCTGGAATATCCCTTAGGCCACCTCGTAATTCTGCCCTTGCCAAAGTTGAGCATGATCGCAGTCCTGATTTAATGCATTTTTCTAAGAGCATTTCGGACCTAAAATTAAAAAAAAAAAAAAAAAAAAAATTATACTAGACACAAGAATTATTAGTTGAAATTTGTAATTCTAATGCAATCTACTATTTTATTTGTAAATATACAACTCCTCTACGTCGCGACTAAAAAGAATTAGATTTCTCTATATTTGATGAATTAATAATACAAGAGGAACAGGTATTGGGCAACATAAAAATTCCTGCTTATTCCAGTTTTTACATTAAGTTGTCAAGGAAATTTGACTAAATTCTTGTTGTTCTTCTTACATTATCAGAAGCCTTAGTAACAAAAATTATTTAAGCAAAATCATTATTTTTTAAGTTTTGCTCAGATCGAAAGTTTCATTCAAGCTTTTATGTACTTTAGATTAAAAATATATAGAAAAATATTCAGAAAATACTCCATCTAGTGTTTTTAGGTAAATCACTGTTTACCCACTTAATCACAAGTGTCTTGAGAAATGTAAATATTTTTTGCTTAATCATTTCTTCATTGCGTGATGTTTTCGCATAAACATATGCAAATACATATATATGTCTGAGATATCGGTATAAACATACATCACCATAAAAAGTATCATATTTAATGAAATACTACACGAAGTTTCGTAATTGAACTGTATTTGCTTTAATGACGTCTCCTAGTCATAACAGTTCATAAATACTCTAGATTAATTAATATCAATATACATACTTAATAGAATTAGTATAGTATAATATGTTCTATAAAAAATATGTTTTTTATTAAAATTGATAATAGTTATAATCACTTCAGTAAATTTTAAAATTTTTGTACCTGCTTGCTACATGTATATACTCAATATGCAAAATGTTGAGGTGGTTCAAAATCTGCTATCGGACACTAAACTTAAACATGATATTTTATTTTACAAATATCACATTTTCACATTTTATTATAAAATTTAACTGATCATTCATGATTTTTTACTAAAGATGTTACCAAATAAGTGTAGATATTTTATGTTTCATTTATAAATTGAATACTACTTTATTGGATATTTTTGGGCTTATTCAACTTATTATTTAGTGACGCACATTGGTTTCATTTTAACAATAAGCAGTTTTTACCAATAAAGGAAATTTACCAGTGCTATATTTTTTTAGCTCAAATTACAGTAAAGTAATTTATAAAAATTTTAATTAATAAAATAATAATAATAAAATTAACTTAGATAATATTTGATTTATAAAAAAATTTAAAAAAGAAAAAAAATGACTTCAGATTCAGAAGCTTCTTGCTTTGCGAACTGTTCGAGAACACTTTTTGGTATTTAAGTTATTACACATATAGGGAAGTACGAGTAACTGTCTTTAGACCATATCATTTTATTTTTATTTAAAAAAATATAGTATATAATATATTTTTCTCAAATAATATATAAGGCTTTGTTAATTTATTAGTAATAATTTATATCTCCAAAATTCAAACAATGTTTCATAATTTATGGCATATCAAATCTGTATCTATTACATTAATCATCTATTTTCTCCAACGGCCATGATATTGTTATTAGCAAATGTCACACATATTACATTTCATTTAATCCAATGACAATGAAAAGTATTACAAATATTTTGTAAATAATGTCCAAAGTACATTGTACTGTGCACCACTTTTCAATCGTTCGTGACGAACATTTGCATTTACTCGAATTGCAGTTTATAGAACTCGAATCATATGTGTTTTAATAATTACGTTTAAGGTTTTTAACACATTTTTTACTATTTAATCGATTTTGTTTATGATATACCTAGGCTTGACACGTGATAAAATGATATATTAATTGTATTTTTAATAACAACAAAGGCGTTGTGGAACAACTTACATGGTTTTGTACATAAATATTATATTTCTAAGAATTTCAAGATAAAAATTAAACATGACATTGAATGTCTTTGATATCATTTTCTGGATCTATTATTGTTTAATATTTACTGCTATAATATTAATAAAACTAAACATTATTAGTTGTTTAAGAATTTAATCTTAATCTGGGAGCAGTATCCATCACGTTCTAGATAACCTTTTAAGTATCAGAAGACATTCATTATTTATAATTGTGTATTTATTAAATTAAAATAAAACCGATAAGTCGGACGTTAATTATGTGTATGCACATACTTATATAGAGATGTTAATAGATATATTTATACAGAGATTTATAATAAAGATGTGAAATAGTAAGTAGCAAAACATTCAATTTGGGCAAGATATAATTTGATTTCCAGCTTTTAGAACTTTTTTAGAACTCACTTATTTAACTCGTGATTATTTTTTTCCACAACATGTAGGTATAGTATTATATTAAATATTTAAATAGATATTTTAAATTTAACTAAATTTTATTATTGTTTTTGTAAAAATCAATCAAAAAAGCAAATGACAATTTTACCATTTTTTGTTACCACTTTACTGTTTTGATATCAAATTTTGACTTAGAATTTAAAGAATATAGGTAATTTGAAATTAAATGGAATTTGATTTGTTGAGTGAATTTGAATAAAAAAAATTAGAAGTAGGAAGAAAAGATAGATTAGAATTCTAGATCAAATTTAGAAGAAAAAGAATAAAGAAAATTAGAAGAAGAATAGCGAGATTAGAATTCGAGAAGAACAAAATTAAAAGAAATAGAATAAAAAATATGAATAAAATAAATTAGAAGTAAAAAAAAAGAAGCTAGATTAGATTTCGAGAAGAACAGAATTAGAAAAAAAGAATAATGAAAGATAGAAGAATAAAGAAAGATAGAAGAAGAATAAAGAAAGATAGAAGAAGAATAAAGAGAGATAGAAGAAGAATAAAGAAAGATAGAAGAAGAATAGCGAGATTAGAATTCGAAAAGAACAGAATTAGAAGAAAATGAATAAAGAAAATATGAATAAAAAAATTAGAAATAAAGCTAAGAAAATAAAAGCTAGATTATATTTCGAGAAGTTCACATTTAGAAGCAAAAGAATTAAAGAATAAAAAAAATAGAAGTAACAAGAAAAGCTAGATTAGAATTCGAGAGAATCAGATTTAGAAGAAAAAGAATAAAAAAATAGAAGTTAGAAGAAAAGCTAGATTAAAATTCGAGAAGATCAAATTTAAAAGAGAAAGAATAAAAAAATACAAAAAATACAAGTAAGAAGAAAAGCTAGTTTAGAATTTTCGATCAGATTTAGAAGGAAAAAATAAAAAAAAAATGAATACGAAAAAAGTGAAAGTGAGTAGTAGAAAAGCTATATTAGAATTTGAAAGGTCAGATTTAGAAATTTAAAAGAATTAGTCAAGAATATAAATATGAAATATTGTAGGTAAGCGTGGCTAAGAATATATTAATTAAATAAAAATCCTCTTAAGAATATATCTTCAACATGCGATTGATTACTCTTAAATAAAATTCTCAATATTAATATCAATATAATTAATTACCACTTACCTCTTACAAGTAGTGTCTTGTGTTTTAACAGCTTTCTCGAGCACGTTGTCCGATCGAACACTCGAACACACATCTGTCACCTCCGGGCACCGGTCTTAAGATAAAAAAGCGTCAAAAAATACGAATTTGCGATCTTTTAAAGTTACATTATATTCGCGAGAATTAATGTTTACGAGAATAGCCAGCACATTGCTCCCGACCAAGAGGTTAGCGCACTCTATAAGAAAAGACACTGCTGTAGTAGTAGAATTATAGATACATGGTAAAGGAATTTTGAATAGATGTAAATTAAATTTGTGTTAGAAATGATTTTTTTTTTTTGTGGATCTTGTATACCCGCTCGGGTTGACGGTTCGGTTCGCACTGCAAACGATATTGGTTTTGTGGTGTCGTTTTTAAAGGGCAGACGGTGGAACGTTAGACTTCTATCCGACACTAGACGATCACATGTAGCAAAGCATTTCGAGTCGAAAGATGACACGATCGAGACACACGAGAACTACTAAAACCGTCTATATATATTTTTCGAAAAAATAAAACACCGACGAGGCTGTATCGAGCACCTTCTCGAACGACTCTGGGATCTACTCTCCATGGTCAAGGGTAATCGATTTTGCTTTTTATGGGGACTTCTGGGATTTATGACTTGGACATGGTGCATGAGATCTTTTTCAACATGCAAATTATATTGAAAACTTTACGATGGCAATAGATAGTGGAACTCTACTCGATGAACATTTTTTATCTTGAAATTTATTGCAAAGTTATTTAAGTTTGCTTTTTGCTCAGTTACCAACTATTATTACTTTCATATATTTCAAATTGATATTTAATTTTTTTTGTTTAGTGTAAGTTATAGTTTATACTTTCCATCTTTAAATTGCAAGAGCTTCTGAACATTTTGGCATACCTTAAGAAAAAGGATGAATGTGTGTGTGTGTATGTGCAGATACAAATAACATTCTATAGTTTGCACATATAGAGATATTTTTTATTCTAATGCTTTGTAACAAATATGAAAATATTTGCATTTGCAGAAAATTAAATTAGGTTTATATTTGTAGAAGTAGTAATGTAGTAAATTAAAACAGAGAATTTTACGTAACAAATTTATTTCTTCTACAAAATTAGTTTTATTCATGTTTTTTACTCACGTATAATTAAAGTTATTGTAATCTTTTAGACTAAATTTATTGTTTTTGTATTAACAGCTTTAATTGATGTTTGCAATCTCGTTTTTAAATTGCTTTGTGAACCTAAATTGATAAATTGCTTTTAGAAATCAAAATTTTGGTATAAATCTACGTTAATATCAATAATGAATAATATTGGTAATTTCATTAATAAAGTTGCTGAAATGTGTAAATACATAGAAGTATAGTTATAGCATCAGCAAAGTTATTTTTTAAGCAAATTTGACTCTCCTTATATTGTTATAGGTTTATTATTTAAGTTTCAGTTTTAATATTTACAAGGGTTCTTCATAGCGTAATTTATATGTATACATACATAAAGTATAAGTATGTATATTCATTTAAAAGTATCAATAAAGCTTTGGCAACATTATATGCTTTGGTTAATGTAAAGATTTTTTAGATTATAATTATTTAGTGAAATACTCGTACAACGCGTTTATTATATATCATAATGCATTTTTCAAAAAAATTTATTTAAAATTTAATTCAGGAGTCCATTATAATGTAATTATATTTATTTCTAAGGTTGTGCGCCTCTGGCTCCATAAGATCGGAATAAAGTAGTAAAGACACGTGCGAACGATGCGTGTCTTTTTTCTTCATTTTCACCGCAAGTGCATCCGTAGATGACAGTGATGTCACATTGGAGGGTTAGAAAAGAAAATATATTGAAAAAATATAATAAAAAGAAATAAAGCTAAACTAAAGAAATAAAACGAAAATAAACTACTACTACTTCTGTAATAATTATAATCTTTTAACAACATCCAAAAATTGATGAATACCAAATCTCATTACTATCAGCTGCTCGAATTTTTGAGCATAATTGTCCAAAATTTGGAAGTTTTTATTATCATATATAATTCAAATTTATTCTCGTCTTCATAAATAATTCATGAAGTTCAATATGTAGCATTTTCCGTGGGATAAATATTCGTTTCGTCATCTCGAGTTGTTTGCATAACAAACATTCCAGACGCGTTCATAATGTTATATGACAACATACAAATTGAATAATTAACACCTGAATTTGAAGACACCGCGGTACATGTACTTTACAAAATTTTGATGATCAAACATTTATTTTATTTATATCGTATTAACATAGTGAAACAAAATATAATTATTGTGTTCATGATTAAATGAACATAATAAATGTTAATAATAATATTATTTAAAATTTGAAAATATTGATAACACTAGCTTAATCAAATGCAAATTTTTCAAAAAGGTCAATTTTTTAAAAAAAAAAATTAAAATTCCCAAAAATCTATTTTTTTCAATGTTCTAAAAAAATCAATCTTTTTTAAAAATTTTAATTTTTGGTACGGGAAGTTCCAGCAATTTGCCTTAAGGCACGATGCCATGCACCACTAGTTTTCGAACCGTTTCCGAATGTTTGCTAAGCAATGCACAGGATGCAACGGGCAAATAATAAAGCAAACGACTCTAAATTATGTTATGGTAGACTGCTAGAAATAGATCGGTGCACAAAACAAAAGGGGTTGTTGCTAACCGAGGCCAGACACAAAAGGAAAAGCCGAAATAAAAATAACCACAAGTCAGCAGTAGTACAGTCAAGCGTGTAATCGAAAAAGGTGTAAGAAGTTTCGTTCAATTAAATTCATTTATTTATTACTTGGGCACTTATATAGAATTGTCATTTTATTTGATATGAAGTAGATTCGAAGAAGAATAAGCAAGGTTAGAAGAAAAAGAAGGAAAGAGACGAAGTAGAATAAAAGTTAAGAAGAAGCAAGGATAGAATATAAAGGAGAAAGAAGAAGATGAAGTAGAATAGAAGTTAAGAAAGAGAAGCAAGGTTAGAAGATAAAGAAGAAAAAAGATGAAGTAGAATAGAAGTTAAGAAGAAGAAGCAAGGATAGAAGAAAAAGAAGAAAAGAGATGAAGTAGAATAAAAGATAAGAAGAAGCAAGGAGAGAAGAAAAAGGAGAAAGAAGAAGATGAAGTAGAATAAAAGTTAAGAAGAAGCAAGGATAGAAGAAAGAGGAGAAAGAAGAAGATGAAGTGGAATAGAAGTTAAGAAGAAAAAAGGATAGAAGAAGAAGCGGAAAGAAGGAGATGAAGTAGAATAAAAGTTAAGAAGAAGCAAGGATAGAAGAAAAAGGGGAAAGACGACGAATAGAATAGAAGTAAAGAGAGAAGAAACAAGATTAGAAGAAAAGGCGCGAATAGAACTATACTCTAAAACTATGTGTGTTTGACTAATTAGATGAACGTGTCAAGTATTGTTTATTTAATTCTATACTTTTATATATCCGCTATACATA